TTTGCAAAATCAACAAGTTCTGTTTCACATTCTGCTCCTTTGCCCACTTAATAATATTGCGACGACACGCATTCAGCTTCCTAATAACAGACTCCATAGGATCATGGTTCCAAGTAGCTTCCACAAGCTCTTCCACTTCCGGGTTATCAGTGAGAGCCCTATTAAACCAAAACACTCCATGCTTCTTTGTAATCGAATCCTTGAAGTAGGTTACAACCGGCCTATGATCAGATCCCTCGAAACGTAGGTATCTACACCTCCACATAAGAAAAAGTTCACTCCAAGCACAGTTTGTGAGGGATCTATCCAGTCTAGAGTGGTTGAAATGAGTGTATCTGTTGCCCCTCCAACACAAATGATCAGCGGAGTGCTTAAGGTTCCAGAGACCGTTTAGTGACACAAAGGATCGGAAGAATGTGAAGGGACATTCCCAACGAGGCGGTCCCCCAAATTTCTCCGAGCCATCAAGAATATCATTAAAATCACTTCTAAGTAGCCATGGAGCATCCCGACCTTCACCTACAGCAGTCAGTTTTGTCCAAAAACTGGCTCTGTTTTCCGCAGAAGGTGCTCCATAAACAAAGGTGATATACGACGAGACCCCTTTGAAAGATACCTTAGTATCGATCAGGTTAGGGAGAGCCTCCAGGATGGTAAGAGCAACTCCTTCTCTCCACATAAGCGTGAGGCCGCCGCTGAGGCCTACTGGAGGAATAGAGAAGAAGTTGGGGAAGCGGAGATCACGGGTTTTCTTCTTAATGAAGTCATCACTATTCTTTGTTTCCATAAGACAAGTAATGTCCGGGCAATCTTTTTATGAATCTCCCGTAAGCGACGAATTGTCAAGACACTTCCCAAACCTTTACAATTCCAACTCAACACAGCTAAGGAAGAGGAGGCGAGGGGGCCGAAAATCTGATCCCTTTGTCCTCCCAGTAACTCGCTTTGCGGTACTTGTTCCGGCCTTATCACAAGGTATAGTTATGTCTCGGTCTACACACAGTCTCTTACGTGCCGGGTTCATGGCCTTAGCCACGTTAATATTCTTAAGAGTGAGGCCTTGAGCTCGTTGAAGGGGGCTACTTCTAACCGATATTTTCTTTACTGGAGCACCAGTAGTCCTTCTTCTGGATGTTGTCTTAGGGATCAAAGAAGGGACCAGTGGCGAATTATCATTTCTACCAAAGTGAATGGTAATAGGACCTTCACTATCTCCCAACCGTTGGGAAGCTGGTATACGAGCCGTTTGGCCACTCACGTGGTTGGCCGCACAAGGGGGATGGTGTCTTCTTGCTCCGTAATCCCATCATATTGAATTTCAACATCCTGGAGTTGAGTACAGTCAAAAATTGAGGGGGGGGGAGGCACGTGGCTACAAGGGGAGGCCGGCCAGCGTCTCCTACACGGCCTAGGACAGAGCGTCTCTCACTCGATGAATTATAGGGAGCTTCCCCAGTACTGCCTGAGCCACGTGGAAATTCCAATCTTTCACTGAGGTTACGTGGGGAAGGGGTATGAGAGGATAGGGAGCGGGAGTCCTCTCCTGGTGTCGAGAGTGGATCCATAGGCACATCCTGATTTTGAACACGAACACCGCTTGAGAGGATAGGAGAGTCTTCCTTAGAATATCTCCTGCTATCTTCGTGAGAAGGGTTGCGGTGGACATGATCTTGATTACTGGAGCTCATGTATGTTAGAGAATTGGACTCTCTGGGTTTTCGTTGAGAAGCTCTATTATCAGAGGAGTGTGTAAGACGGTGGTTCATGTCATCTCTGCGGTTATTCTAGTTAAGTGGAAGCTGAGGAGGTCGACGGTATCTCGACAATCATCGTGGCGACGCTTATCAGCTTCAATACGCTGTAAAGCAATTCTCTGAGTGATCCCAAGCCTCTTTTCCTTGATTGTAGGTTACGAGATTTCGCCGGGCAGAGTTCATCTTCGTGGAAGAGAGAAAAGCAAGTAAAACAGTTTTTTTCGATTTTGATATACTCAAACTCCATAGTGATAATATCATCAGACGGTAACTGAATCTCCATGGTCATTTCTAAGGGAAGAAGGCCATTAAACTCTACCCGGATTTTAGGTTCCTCAACAACCTTATCTACCAGATGTCCAAGGTTATGTCCAATAGTAGTAACAGTGGCTTCATTGCAAAAGTGAAGTGGGATCCCATGGATTCGAATCCAAAAGGTAATCAAGTTTGGGAAGTTATCCGAAACAGTTGGCTCTCATCTTTGAAGAAGCAACATCCACTTCTTATAGTGGAACAGACCTTTGCTGAAAAACCACCTGTAAGTCATTTTCAGAGCGAAAGCAAAACTTGAACTTTTCAGGCTCCATTTCCCTTCCTTCAACCCTTCCTTCCAGCCCCAGACTTGCGGAAGAAAGTTAACAACAGCTCTTGCGCTTTGAAGAAGTGGGTTAGTAACCCGTCCTAGAACGGTAAGTTTATTAGCTGTGATGAGCTCAGTATTATCACTGGAAGAAATACGGAAAGGGGGCGCTTTGGTGGTGGAGGAGTAGAAGCTACCCATTTCCCTTTATCAGAGCGAGATAGACGTTGCTCCATGACACCGGAAACAAAACAGAGATTTTAGAGTTGTCGGCTTGGAACAGATGTAACAACAACGAGGTTATATCAACCTAACAGAGAAGATGAGGCTTAGAGCAGAAACAGGGGGCTCACGGGAGAGGCAGTAACATATGAAGCACCAGATACAGTGGTAGGGCAAGCCATAGTATGGTTGGAACTTCAAAATCCGTTACCTATAAGTACAGGTGGAACCTTGCTGACCCTCCGACGCCGGTCGGGGGCTGAACCTGGAGAAAAGATCGCCTGGGAGTGGTATTGAGATTCAAAAGTTTACCACAAATAGTAATAAATCAGGTGGGAAAACAATGGTTACGTAAAACCGGTAGCTCAAGACTCTCTTGGGGAATGTGCCTGAGAGAGAAAAAGATAAACTCGGTGGGATAAATAATTATTACCAATACAAGACTAGTATAAGACTTGTGCCTTGCGCATGGTGAATATATGTAATTAAAATATAAAATTTTAGTATTGACAAATTTAAAATTTACATATGATTGTTTTTATATGTATTTGAAATTTTAGAATTTTGGAATTTTTATATAATTATCTATAATAAAAAAAATTGTAATTAGAACTGATCAAAGCTTAGAACTTAATGACCCGACTTCATATATCTTTTCACTTTTCAGTGTTCGAGTGATGAAAAATAAACGGAGTGTCACTGGGCTTGATTAGTTGAGTATTAACAAGTTCTCTAATACTTTCTTAAAAACCAGTTGGTAAGATAATTGCATTTAAAATATATAAGTTTCAGAACTAATTTAATATAATTTATTTATTTGTCTAATAATATTAAAAAATTCTATTTTTACAATTTTTTAAAAAAATAATTATATAAAAAATTAAGTTAAATTTTAAATTATTTAAAAAAAAAATATTTTAAGTTTTTCAAGTACAAATAAACAGTTTAAAATTAATTTTGGTCATGATTTAACATAACCATAATGATTTAAAAAATTAAAAATTAAAATATTAAACATTACCTCAGTTTTATATCATGATTTAACAATTTAAAAACTAATTATGGTTATGAGAAGTTTACGTTCACGTGTCAATCCTGTTTATCTTCAATTTTTTCTCTTGTTGTGTTTTTTTTTTATTTTGGTTATTACTCGATATAAATATTTATTTTGAAGTTTATTCTCATTTTGTTTGTTTGTTTTGACTTGGGATTTAGAAAATACTTAAGATTTAAAATAATTAAAGAGATACATACTTAGGTTAAGATATGCACTTTATACACAATAAATATTTTATATTTATTATTTATTTTATATTTTTCTGTATATTATAAAATAATAAATATATATTAAATAACTAAAAATCAGTTACTATTATGTAATAAATTGTCGTATGTATATAAATTTAACTATCATTCTTGTTTATTCTCAATTAGGGTAAATAAATCAAAATAATCAATCTTATATATTATATATGATATACAATTAAATTTAAATGATCTAAACATATTAATATAGCACACATTTAATATGGATATTTATAAAATGAGGTTTCTACTCATATGATTTTATGATTATTTGCATATTTGTGTAACAAAACTTTACACCAACGATTTTTTTTTTTAATGTGAGATGTTTAATAGTTTCAATAATTTATAATCATTTTAAAAAAACAATGACATATTTCAAAATTAAAATATTAAATTTTCAATATATGTTCAATGCAAATATCAAAATATAAGTATGTATTTTCATACGACGTATAGTTTAATTAAAGTGATATGAAGTATATATAAACTAAAATTATTTCTTCATATGGTCTTATAATCATTATATTTTAATATAGAAAAAAAATTAAAACCTTGATTCTAAAATTTGATGTGAGATTTTTAACAGTTTTAGTAATTTATACTCAGTTTGAAAAATTCGAAATACAACATACACAAAAAAAAATATCTAGATTTTTATTATATGATTAATGTAATTGTGTAATTTATTTTAATAATATAGAAATAAAAAAATGAGAAAAAATATACAGATTGTTATCAAATCTTTATTGTTTAAAATCATTAATTGTCATATATATATTTTAATCACGTTAGATAATTTTGTAGGTTTTATTTAAGGAAATCATGCGAAACAATAAATATTTGATATATGCGACCAACTATATTCTACGAAATATTATATTGCTAGAGATTGTAATTTTTAGACTATACATTATATCACATGCTCTAGAATCCTTAGGTTTTGAAATAGAAGTTAAATAGTTATGTCACATAGGAATGAGTTAATTTTAATTATTACAAATTAAAATTACAACTTTTTAAATGATTTTTAATTAATATATAAGGGATTATTTGAGACTATTTCTTCTTTCAAGTAACTCTTTTTCTTGTATTTAAAAAATTAAATATATCCACTGAAATGCGAGTGTTTCTCTTTTGAGTGAGAGAAATTCTAAGAGTTGAAGAGAAAAATAACCCTAAATCCACCAGAAGGACGGCAAACCGAACAAACATTGTTCACTGTTGTTTCGTCCAAAGTTGTCACCGACGAATCGAATTGTAATTTCCTTTTCCTTTTTCCTATAGGATCCAATCTTTCTCAGTTAATTTTTCTTCTTACAGTGTTATTTACTGGCTTCAATTGCATCGTTTTGTCATTTTCGAATCAAGTTTCTTACTTTTGTTACCAAATCTCATTCAGTAACTAAAATCCCCAAATTTATTATCTGTATTTGAAGTGACTCAGATCAATAATGCCGCCGAGGAGAAAAGCAAAGAAGGGTGTCAAACGCATTGAAGAAGATAAGAAGGAAGACAAAGAGAAGAGAAGAGAAGAGGACTTGGTGGACGAAGAAGGTAATCATCTTTTTGTCCAATACCCACTCACAAATTGTGTTCATTTCTTGAAATTATAATGTCAAATTGGAACTTAGGATTTTATTGTGTAATATTTTTTTTTGTGTGTGTAGCTGAAAAACAAGTTGCTGCAATTAGGGGGATTCGAGATGTGGAGATTGAACACACTTTAACTGCACTTAGCTTGCTCGGCTCCTATTTTACCGAGGAACAGCTTCAGAGTCCTGTCTTGGACTTCTTTAGAGAGAATCTTCCTGATTTATCTATAGCGAGAAACGAAGAAAGCGGGGAGATTGAGTTAAAGTGGAATGATTCAGATGCTGTTGACGTTAATGATTCCATCTTGAAGCGCTTGTCCATGGGTTTTCCTGATTTATACAACTCTAGGCCTTCTCTTGGTGGCTACAATAACGGTACGATTTGGTTCATTGATGGATTTGTGATTGATCTTTTGTTTCTTCGTATTAAAAATTTGACTTTTTCTTTGGTTTGGTAGTAGTGGGAGGAAGCATGTTAGGAATTGGTGACACACACCTCGATAATCTTGTAAGTTTATTATATATCTTGTTCTTCGTCCATATTCATGTTATATGCTTGCTTCTCTGCCTGTAGAACTAAGGATTGAAGCACAGTTTTGAAAGAGTGGGTTCAACTTTTGTAGAAAAACTCTAGTGGGTTTGCAGGCTTTTCTTGGTTTATGAAATGTTATGCTATACTAAATTGTAATATGGGTTTTGTTTTCAACCTTTTATTTTCTTCTGTCATCCAAAATTATGCGAAGTTACTTCAAGAGAATCGGTAGAAAACTATAGTTTGCTAATTTGTCCCCTTGTTGTTTGTTCTTTCAGGGGACCTCTGCGAATCAAATGCTTGCAAGCCATGATGCTCTTCGGACTCCCGTGGTAAGTATTTTGTAAAAGTTCTCTAGAATTCACCTTTAGTCTAGCTTTTTTGGAACTTTTTTTTTTCCTTGTGTTCTTTCTTTGTGCTTCTGATCCAGAGAGAAAGGAACCAGTTTATGGTTTCGAAACTTATCATTCATATTCTCTGTTCTAGGATGAGAGACGTTTGTTTCAGTGATTTGGATTTTCCGCAGACAAGCAGAGACTTTATAGACTGATACTTGTTAAATTTTGCAGGTCAATGGGCAGAGGCTATCTTTTGGAATGACACCAAAGACTCGGAGGCAACCGAAACCTGGAGAGATAATGCTTTCTGTACATGGCTCTCCTTTGGGTGTCTATAAAGAAGATGACAACATGGGAGCTATTAATGGTATGCTACTAGATAACACTCTGTTCTCAGTTCTTGCTCCAAAAGATTTGTTCTTAATTATGTGGAATTATTTGATTCTGCAGAAGAAGACAGTTGAAGATACCTTCAAAAGGTTCAGAAACTTGCTGATTCTCATTTAATCTAAAGCTAATTTTTGCTGTGCATGTCTATTCCATAAAAGATTTTTGTTTTGTTAGTATCTATATGTGAAACTTCTGCCTTGTAATTTTCCAAATTGTGTACAAGACCATTTGTTTCTTCTCTTTTATCTAACTACTTTAAAATCTTGATCTGTAGGGAAAAAGGCAGCTAATAGAAGTAAGGCATAACACGCGTCTGGTGTGGATAATAAAATGAACAACATTACTTCACTTAATAAACCTTTACTTCATTATTAATAAATCCGCAACTTATTATCAACAAATTCAATCAAAATAAGAGACAACTCTTGCGAATAGAACTTGAATTCTCTAATCTGCAACACTTACCTTTGCACCCCGAGTCCCTTCTTTTCCTCTGCCGCAAGCCCAACCTTGTTGATCAGCAAGATTATCCACGCCAAAACAAGCAACTGATTCAACAATGGAAACAAACTCTTGCTTCTTCACAACAGACTCAACTTTGTGTGAAGAAGAAGAAGAAACAAGCTCCTCAGGCACTCCCCTTTATTGCTCTTGTTCAACTTGCTGTTAGAATTGCAGATGATGGATCAAGAGCCGTAATCACATTATGATGTTATTTTCCTCAAACTAACTTTAAAGCCCGTTTCATCTTCTCTCGAGAACGGCGTGTAAATTACTCTAACATTGATGCTCCAAGAAGAAATTTGTGCTTTAAATGGCTTATGGCACTCCAAAACGAGGAGGTCGGAGTCATGCGCCTTGGGCTATGGTCCTCCAAGGCACTCGTCTCATGGATAGAATGCGTTCAAACGTAGGTTAGAAATATAGCGGAACGTAAAATGCAATGATAGTAGTTCTTAGGCTAGAAGTGTGTCTCTCTTAGTTATACTGGTGTAATTATGTCTATGTTGACATAAAGAACATTAATATAGTCAGCTATACGGTCTTATACACACTAATATAGTTCTATATACACATTAGTAAAATCCAGAACTGCAAAACAAAAAAAAATTAAGAAATTAAAAACTAATGCTTGAAACTTCACTTTTTAAATTTCCCCACAATGTCTTGTAATAGCAGACACAACATTTTATAAGTTCTTTTTTTCTTAAGTATACAGAAGTATCTTAATCCTATATAAGTGGTCCAAACTAGTCATATGTTACCACGTGTTAGTTTCATATCCCTGATGATACCGAAATGTTGATTCCCCTCTCAATACTCGAACTCTGATGGCGTCACTGTATTGACTTTTTGCCTTCAAATTAATCATCACCAGGCCACAAATCTTGATTAACGTTTTATAAGTTAATTCGAGCTACATATTTTATTTGGGCATCCTTTCCTCCCTTAGAAAGTAGTTTCGTACCAAAAATTAACTAGTCCATGAAATTGTCATGTACAAAGTCTAATACTTTCATTGTTGAACTACATATTTGATATGGTAAACCTAGATACATTTTCACACCTATTTCTTGAAATAAATTGTATTACCTTGATTCTAAATATACGGGTTACAATCTATAAATACGTGATATGATGCATATTTACATAGTTTTAACATTTCATTTTCTACATAAATCATCATATATATTTAGGTTTAGGCATCTTTAGGTCCATATTGCATTCATATGTCCTTATTAGGTTTGGAGTAGTGCTAATGATGATTTGGAGCCTAGAGAATCACAAAAAGTCCAAAGGAGTGAGAGTAGTGCAGTAGCAGGCAACTGTAGCAGGCTAAAGATGGCCGCGACGTCGCCGCAGGCAACCGTAGCAGGATATAGATGGCCGCGACGTTGCCGCAGGCAACCGTAGTAGGATATTGATGCCCGCGATGGTGTTACGACGAATTGGACAGGGAGATTTCGCAGGCTATTTCGCAGGATGTGAAGGCCACGGCCAAAATGGGTGCATCGCAGGCTCGTGCCGCGGCCAAGAGGAGGTTGCGGCCGTGTCATGGATTTTAGCTTAATATAAATATGTATTAGACTTTAAGTGGATGATATCTTCTTTTCTCTCCAAAAACACATTGAAAAGTTGAATCCTTGATTAATATAAGCTTTGTTTCTTGAGTAATTTGAGTCTATCTCTTCTTCTAATCATGATTAGTCTTCTATCTATCATGGGTTTAAGATTAAACATGTAGATTAGTGAGTAGACTCTCTTTGAGTTTATGGATTAGGGTGATTAAGTTATGATCTAGGGTGATTAGTGTTAGATCCTTCTTGTCCTATGTTATTACTTATTCCCAATGCTAGATTAGACCTAATCCTTCTAAACTAGATCATTAGGCATTTCTTGCCCACAAGGTGTATGATGAAATGCCTGAACCAAAGTAATAATGATTTTTTCTTGCTTAACCAAGGATACTTCATGTTAGGAAGGCTTAGATGGTTAGTAGAGTTGTTCTCAATGATTGCTTGATTGATTTAGACCAATGACCATTTGTGTTTAAAGATTGATAGCAAATGAGCTTTTACCTTGACCAATGACTAGCTTAGAATTGTGTCTAGACCTATAGGATATGAATGATTGCTTGAAACCTCACCCTAGATAGTAAATTGATCATCCAAAGTCAATACCCTTATCCATATGCTCTTTTATCTCATTGAAACCAAATCTTAGTTATTCTTGTTTACATATTGCTTGTTACTAGTTACTTATAAAATAAACCCTCATTGATTGCATTTAGATTAAGCAATGTCTTGCATTCTCTTTGTTCAATAGCTCTCAGGATTGGATTGACACTCTACTTACCTTACTACATTGATTTGCTCTAAAGCTTAAAAACCCTTATCAAATTTGGCGCCGTTGCCATTTCTGAGTTGTTTATTGACATTGGGATTTAGTCATTGCTTGAGACTAAATCTTATTTACTTGCTTTAGTTACTGATTTCTTCTTCTTTGTATCCCTTGGATTGGTTGCAGGTGTATGAACCTGAGAAGTAGAGGAGCTGCAAACCTCTTACCTGCAGCTCAAGACATCCAAGCTCTTGAGAGAGAGTTGAGAAGAAGTAAAAGAGAAGAAGAGAGGCTAGCCCAACTAGAAGATTTGGGGCTAGAGATGGAGAGAAACAACAACTTGCCTCAAAATGAGGCTGTCCTTCCTCAAGAAGGCATTGGTCAAGGACCTGCTAACCTTAGACCAAACCAAAACCAGCGCCCGCGAAGGAGTATTGGTGCTTATGATGAGCCTCACATCTATGGGAGTAGGATGGGTATTAGAGCCCTAGCTGTTCAGAACACCAACTATGAGATCAAGTCAAGCCTTATCAACATGATCCAGAGCAACAAGTATCATGGTCTTGCCATTGAAGATCCCTTAGACCACCTTGATAGCTTTGATAAGTTATGTGGGACAACAAAGATCAATGGTGTTTCTGAAGATGCTTTCAAGCTGAGGTTATTCCCATTTTCTTTGGGAGACAAAGCCCACACTTGGGAGAAGAGCCTTTCAAGAGACTCTATCACCACTTGGGATGAATGTAAGAAAGCCTTCCTCACCAAATTCTTCTCTACTTCAAGGACAACTAAGCTTAGAAATGAGATATTTGGTTTCATTCAAAAGAACCTTGAAGGCTTTGGTGAAGCATGGGAGAGGTTTAATGGCTTCATCACTCAGTGTCCTCATCATGGTTTCAGTAAGGAGAGCTTGCTTAGTACCTTCTACAGAGGAGTCTTGCCAAAGTATAGGAGCATGCTAGACACTGCTAGCAATGGTTTCTTCTTGGGAAGAACTGAAGCTGAAGCTNAGTACCTTCTACAGAGGAGTCTTGCCAAAGTATAGGAGCATGCTAGACACTGCTAGCAATGGTTTCTTCTTGGGAAGAACTGAAGCTGAAGCTTTAGAGCTTGTGGAGAACATGGCCAAGAGTGACTCAATTTACAATGATGAGTTTGATAGAATCAATAGAGATGGTGGTGAAGACACTAGAAGGGATCTGAAATCTCCTGAAGAAAAGATTGACAAGCTTGAGTTGCTTCTTTCACTCCCAACCAAGCAAGAGAAGGTAAACCTTGTGGGTGCTCAAGAGGATACACCTGAGTTGAATGTTTTTGAGGGTATTGAGGGAAACCAAGAGGTATGCTTCATCAATGCCAATGGATCTTGGTATAGGAAGGAACCAAACTTCCATTACCAAAACCACCAATACCAAAAGCCTCCCAATTACCAAACCAACCAAACCAACCAAGCTCCTCCACGCCAAGATAACCCTTCTCCCTCTCCTACTAAAGAGGCTGACACTGAAGCCATGTTGAGAACCATCTTAGAAGCTCAGCAGAGGCAAGAGAAGCATATTGGATTTGAGTTGAGAAACCTCAACACAAAGATTGATGGAGCCTATGGTGAGCTTAACAACAAGTTTAAAGCCTTGGAAAATCAGATCTCTTCTATGACCTCCACCTCTCAATGCCCAGGGAAAGAACATTGCAATGTTATCCTCTTCAATGCTACCTCTAAGTTTGACTTGACTGATCATAAGAGAGAGGTAGATGAGATTGAAAGACTATTGTATGGCTCTGAAGTTGTGCAAGATGAGAACCAGAGTGTAGACATGGCTGATGTTCAGATTGTGGAGAAGGCTAAGGCTAAGGTCGTGGACAGTGGTAAATTCCAAGCTGTGGAGAAAGTTGCAACCATGGTGGATCAGAAAGATAAGGCAGAGGTTTCGAAACAAGCTTCGCACAAGGCTGAGGTTCTGGTTGGTAATGAAGCTGTCCAGAAGTTGACAAAGGTTGGGATTGAAGGATCCGAAGAGTTTAAGCTTGAAGAAGACAAGAAGGTTCAGCTATCTCCCTATGATAAACTCCCTTTCCCAAAGAGGATCATCACCAAAGCTCAAAAGAAGGTGATCTCCAAGTTTAGGAAGGAATTGAGTGATGTTGGAATCAATCTCCCTAAGATCTCCAATATGCAAGAGGCTTGTGACCAGCTAGTGCTCATAAAAGACATTATAGCCAATAAAGAAAAGGTGACAGAGTTTCTTGACATCTCTTCCTCTTTGCTGGATCCTAAACCTCCACTAAAATATCTACCCAAGCTAGAAGATCAAGGGAAGTTTATATTGCCTTGCTCCCTTGGTGATTTCAAAGTTGATGATGCTCTTGTAGATAGTGGAGCTTGTGTGAATGTGATCTCATTGGAGATGGTGCAGAGCTTGAAGATCAAAGGCATGGAGCCAAACAACTCTTCCCTCATGTTTGGAGATTCTTCTTCAACAACACCTATTGGTCTCATCAAGGACTTTCCTTTGAAGATTGGAGATTGCACCATCCCCATAGACCTCACTGTTCTTGATATGGCAAGCAAGAGGAGAATGCCATTGC